GTCGTTGCCAAGCGACGAAAACCCAACCCCGATGGCAAAACACCTGCTTTTGGTGGGCCTTCTTTATTTGGGGTGGAGACGGCGTTGGACAAGTCGAGTAGCCAATTGGCGTTTAAGGTGGCACTGGTACGACAGAGGAGGAGGTCACGCTTCGAGACATGCGAGAGAGATTCGCGAAAAAGACCAAACCAGCTCACTCGGGTGTCTTGCCCCGTTCTCAACCTGGCCTAGACCTATCGTGGCGCTACGCCAACCCATCCCTGAAGGTGCCCCCCTACGGTACATACCTCTACCATTTCTTCGGCAACGCCACGTCTTGCGCTTATATCGGCCTGGTTTTTTGACTTTGCCACTCTTATTCGTCGCCGCCGCTAGCCCTTTCAGTAGCCTTCGCGCGGATGTTGAGCTTAGTATCAGTAGGGGGTACGGGGTTAGGGTTAGGGACGGGGATACGAAACCTCTCTCTCTATTTCATAGATAGAACCCTCGCTATAGCGGCCCATCCCTTCCGCACCTAATGTTGGCGACCCCTGCTCGAAAACGCCTCGCCATGATGCAAAGGACAACAACGGTGTCGCAATGGCAGCGGGCCGGGGTAAGGCCGAAGTGGAGGCGGGCAACACCGAGAAGGCGTCCGGGGCCAAAGAGGAGGGGAGTAACGATGACAAGGACGACGAGGAAAGAGAATCGCGGACGGTGTTCGTGGGGAACTTGCCGACCAGCTTCACGCCAAAGAAGGTCAAGGCCGCCTTCAAGGAGTACGGCGCGGTGGAGTCGGTCCGGCTTCGCTCGGTCGCGGTAAAGGGGACGGCGGTGGACAAGGCCGGGGATCAGGTACGGTGTGTGTCCCCGCGTAGCGACGCCGACTCTTCCCATCTCGGGTTGTTCCGAGGAATAAATCAATGCGGGTTTTCCACGGTTCGGTCCAGTTTTTCTGTAGTCATTTTTTGGTGTTTTCCATCTTCTTGCGGGTTTTTACGAGAGCTCCGCAAGCTTGTGGTGTGGTTTGGTGCCACCGCCCTCGGCGTGCTTACGCTGTGCGCGTCGTGGTCACGTCTCGGTACCAACAATAACTGCTCGACTCGCGTGGTTTGTTGCTCTAACGGTGGCGTTACTCTTTCGCAGCAACTGGTGAGAAAGGTGTGCGTGAACAGGGGCATGGTGGACGAGGAGGTGAAGAGCAGCGTCAACGCCTACGTGGTGTACAAGGACGGGGCTAGCGTGGAAAAGGTGGGCTGCTGTATTCCTTGTCGCGTTGGCGGCGGTGGTGATGGTGGGCCGTGGTTTGCTGCTGACCGTATCTTGCAGTGAATACCCTGCCGGACACGATCGAGGTGTCGAATACCCAACAGCCGCGCGACCCCTGCGGATTGGTCCCGTGTGCTCTATGTGGAGCACACATTTCCGTCAAAAACAATCATGGGCGTGTCTAAAGCGTCCGTTGCGTCTACCATGACTGGGAAAGTGTCCGTTGCGAGTACAAACTGTATACGGAGGAAGAACGGGGCCTTGCAATTGCGCTCGGGCATTCTGAACGACAGTTGCCTTGCCGCTGCCGTCCATCCAGGCCCTAGCTGCCAACGGCACGGACGTGGGGGGCAAGCACGTCCGCGTGGACAGGGCCAAGAGCGGCGAGTACGACCACACTCGCTCGGTCTTCCTCGGCAACCTTCCCATGGACGCAGCGGAGGAGGAGGTGAGTCAAGCAGCAGCAGCAGCAGCAGCAGCAGCAGCAGCAGCAGCAGCAGCGTGGATACACATGGCACACTTTTTAGGCCGTATATTCGATGTCCACTGTGAGGACGACGGGTTTCGGTGTGGGACTCGTACGGAAGAGGAAGATACCGCGGGTTGCGGAAGATACCGCACACCCTAGACCGGTTTTCGAAGCTGCTATGATTCCACGGCGAATAGGATACCAAAACCAATTTGCGATGCGTTTTCGGAAAGATCTCGACGAGACGGTTCCCGTGTGGCCATTTTCAGCATCCTCACTGTTGTTGCCGCAGAGTAAGTGGAGTTTTGAAAATCGGTCCGGGGGGTGTGATATCTTAGGCAACCTACGGCGATGGCCACACCGACTTTTCAGGTACCGCACCAACTTGGGTTGCATAAGATATCGCAACCCCTGGACCGATTTTCGAAGCTTAATTTGTCGGCAGGAAAAGGTGCGACGGTGACAAAAATGGCGGAACCGTCTGTCTCGTCAAGAGCTTTCCGAACACGTATACTTCGATTTCGGCATCCTCTTCGTCGTGGAGTAATCGAGCTTTGAAAATCGGTCGAGGGCGTGAGATATCTTATGCAACCTACGATAGCCTCAGTCCCCACCAACAACCGCCACAAGAAGGTTCGCCACATTCGAGAAACCGGAAACACACGCTGATCCGGAAATACCCACGGGTACAGCGCGGAAATTCCGAAATTACCTGAACACGCGTGCAAGCGTGTGTGTCCGCGTTTGAACTGGTATTTGGAGGTAGCCGTGCAATGGTGCGCACCATGTGATTTTTGGCGTTGTGAGACGTTAGGGTATGAGGGGATGGCAAGAGTTGGGGAGTTGTCCGAATCATGCTCCCTTATGTTCTTCAGCGCACGATTGCGTCTGTTTTGGGTTGGGATTCTTGGTGCACGGTGGGCGTGCGAGCCGATAGGAAAGATTTAGATCAACCGGAACAAGGGAGAGCAGCAACAACCTGCATCATCTGTGGTCAAGATTGGTTCCACACAGCCCGCGGCGATTGTATCGAACAGGATCAAATCACACTACAGCGTGTTGTAAAACCCCTGATTTTCCTCCAAAAGAAACGCACCGCGTGTGCGTACAACCAAATCACATTAGGGCATGTTACGCACCACTGATGTTACCCTCGATGAAAACTCATCACGTGCACATCCCCACGCAGGTTCGAGAATTGTTTGCATCAAAGCTGGAGGGCGGGCCAAAGTCTGTGGAAGGGGTGAGGCTTGTTCGAGACAAGGCCACGTTGGTTGGGAAGGGCTTCGGATACGTGCTGCTTGCCGACAGGGCCCTGGCGGCTGCGGTGCGTCCTGCGTACCTTCGATAAACTCAATAAAAAACCCTTAATGACAGTGAGAGGCGCAAGAATTATGCTCTGCTGTGGGTTGCTGGTGTACGTTTGTACTGCATGCGGGTGATGTTCACAGTATTGCTCTTTGATAGACGCACTATTATTACTGTTTCCTCTTGGGTTTGCCTCGGTGGGTGCTTCATAGGGGTGATGTTTGGTGCGATGTTTCCGATGTTCTCCACTCTTGGTTGCGTTGCTGACGGGAGAGATTATGTTCCCTTTCGTGTTGGTCGCTGTCCTGGAGAGTTTGGGGTCCAACGCTATGGTGTCCTTTGCGCTGAAATCGACTTCGGATATTAGTCGGAGTCGCTTGCTACTTCTTCTCCCTCTCTCTCCTTCAGGGGTGAGAGGGGTACGCTGGGTAGGTTGTTGTCCACTTCAGAAAATAAAGCGTGGAGACGAGACCCTACACGCTTCTGAAATACTTATTCGAAGCCCCGAGCGTTGGGTGTCGGTCCGAGCCGGGGACACGCGTTTTTGTGTGCCCCACTCGTGTGTACTGTTCGGCTTTGGAGTGATTCCAATCTTGTCATGAACTAGCCAATAGACGCCCTTTGACATGGGTCTCCTCTCTCCCTCTGTTCTCTTTCCCCTCTCCTCTCTCTTTCTCCCTCTCTATCTCCCTCCCTCCCTCCCCTCTTTTTCTCGCCGCATGGATGCGAGAGAGCAGGCGTTAGCCCTCCACGGTACGAAACTCAAAGGCCGGCCCCTTCGGGTGATGCCGTGCGGCAAGAGGACCAAGGGGAGGGGCGGGGTCGCGAAGCCCGGGCAGGAGGCGAGTGCAACCAGCCTTCCAAACGAACGACCGTGTGTGTGTTTTGTGTATTCTGGATACGCTAGTGAGCCGGGTTCTCGCATGGCATGCATTCAGCGTAGGCGGCATGCGGGTCGGCAGGGGTGGCATATTCTGGTTGATGTCGGTCGGGCTATTGTGCTTGTTCGTGAGCGGGGTTCTCGCATGCCACGGAAACGAAGCACGGGGCATGCCGTCGGTGGGGATACGCGCCTGTTTCGATCAGGAGCCCTGCCGAGGATATTTAAGCTTGGTTGTTGTAGGGTATAAGGGTTAGGGTTGGAGGGACGAAATCCCCCTCTCTGTTTCATCGATTAATAGTGCTATCCTCGCGAAGGGCGGTCCATCTCGACGGGAGCAGGGCTAGGTCAACCCCGCCGGCATGCACCAAGATTTGGTTATCTTGTCGCGATGTGATTGGAACGGGTGTTGTCTTGCGTGGCGAAAATGTGGTTGGGATGTTGCGCACGTACTCATATTCGCGTGACAAATGGATGGCGTTTGCCACGGCACGAACGGACGGCAGTCGTAGTTCTAAGCTGCCGGAGGTGTGTGAGTAGGAGATGGAGAAGCCGTGCCCTGGAGGATCATGAGCACAGCGCATGACAGCCGATCTTACAAGTTCGAGCAATGGCCTTTGTTCCTTGTACCGTTTCCCACCTTTTGCCAGCAGGGCGATCTCGGTGTCGAACGATGTAACCCTGAGCGTCGCGGAATGACCACAACGCGAGAGTTCACGAAAAAATTATGCAACAACAATTCTTGCTTTTGGCACTTGACCATGACCAACATCTAACGCACCCTTGCCCCTGCCCCCCCCCCCCTGCGCCCACGCCGTACTGCTGTAATACGACAGGACCACAAGTTCGCGAGCTTCGAAGGTAGGAGGACGACCGACGCCGGGGTGTTGCGCCGCCTGAAGCGCAAGCAGCAGGAAGGAGGTCGGGGGGGCGACGTGGGCAAGACCAGCACCGCCGACAGCGCCAGCGGCAGTGGGCGGGGTCGGGGAGGCAGGGGTGGCGGCGGCGGTAGCAGCGGCGGTGATGACAGCGGTAAGGCGTTCAAGAAGCCCCGTTGGACCACGGAGGATGGCGTTCGCGCGGGGAAGACGGCCGGGGGGCGGGCTGCCACGCCGATCCCGACGCCGGGAGGGAGGGTTACCGGGGGGCGCGGCTCCGGGGGTGGGGGCAGGGTGGGTGGGCACGGCGGTGGTTCTTCTCGAGGGGGAAGGGGGCGGGGAGGAGGAAGATGGGGGCGTGGGGAGTCGAGGGGTCGAGGGGGGGAGGGCAGGGGGGGCGGGAGGGGACGCGGGCGCGGTCGAGGAAGGGGTTGACGAGAGAGATTCTAGCGGTGGTATGGGAGGTTAGGCACCCCCCAGAAGTATATTGTTCTGTGTCTGGCGCTGTGGAAAGGTCTTTCCCTGATCCATTGGTAGGACGGGATGTTCCCACGATAGTGGCCGCAAGTTGAAGAGACCTGCTGCGTTCGCAACAGGTTTCTGTCGATTTCAACATCTCAGTACAACGGAGTTCAACCAATCGGTGATTTTCTTTGCTGGACTGTTAGATGCGCGCGCATGTCAGGCGCCGCCAATGACGATTCACTCCCCCCCGCCGAGCTTCATCGGGAATCATCACTCCTTCAGCTTGCGCACGTCCTTGAAGGACTGATATCTGAAGGGATTCGGGTGTGGCATTGTTCACTGAACGCAACATGGGTGAGAGAACGGCAGAACGTAAAGATGAAGGGTGTATGTTGGCGTCTTCGCGGTTGGGGGTTGAATCGACACCTGGCGGATTGTGGGATTTTTGCTCGAGGAGAGCGGAAATCGCCTTTTCGGACCACTGCAGCTGCGGGGCCCGTAGTTACACTGCCTCGAGGCGCCGACCGGTCACAGTTGACATCAGATCGAAGGCCCTGTTCCGCTTTGATGACGGGTGTTCGCCTCATTCATTCGTCGTTTTTTCTTGCCACTTTTCACATGGATACGAGACTATCCAAGAGTGCTGTTCTCGACCTTTGCCGCCACAGATAGTATCGGCTCATTGCCCGCCGTTCCTTGTCGGGGTGCATGCGCGTACCCAGACTTGCCAAATCTTGCCTGAGGGAGGGGGGGGGGGGGGG